GGGACTGCTCTGGCGCCTGGCTTCCAGTCCTCTCACCAAGCTTCTTAACAACTCAGACCTCATGTTCCTCCCCGGCTCAAAAGGGCCACTAGTGATGTCCACACCCTCATCCAGACACTCAGGTTGTTTGGGACCTGCCACAGGTGTCCCCAGCTCATGTGCCACTGTTCCAGCCAGCTCCGGGCCTCTCCCCTCAGTTGCTACGGAGACATTGCAGGAACTCTGCCTTCCAGTGTCTGTCCCCTGGAAGCCTTGGGCCTTGGAGGAAGGAGGGTGCAGGAATCAGTCTTGCTGGGAGTGTGTGGACAGGACCTTATCCCTATGCAACCCCTAACATGTGGTGTTGGAGGTTAGGGGTGCCTTTCCTGTTGGCTCCCGGGTACTGAACTGTTATGTGTGCTGTTGAGAGGACTGAATCCAAGTGTGGGATCTGTCTGTCATACTGGGTGGTGTGCAGGATCCCAGGCGGGGGCTCAGTGGTGTCTCTCACAGATGTGGATGAGTGTGCCCAGGCTCTGCACGACTGTCGCCCCAGCCAGGACTGCCATAACTTGCCTGGCTCCTATCAGTGCACCTGCCCTGATGGTTACCGAAAGATCGGGCCCGAGTGTGTGGGTGAGTCCAGGGAGCAGCTTCTCTAGTCCCAGCTCTGTGCCCTGGTCTGGCCCTTGCCCTAGCACCTGACCCCCATTCAACCCAGGCTTCCCCTCACCCCCGTCACCTCTACCTTCCTGTCATCAGACACAGAGGATTGTATGGGGGTGTGTTTGGGAGGTGTCCTGGCTGACCCTGCCCAATTCAGCTCCCCGGACACAGGCAGGATCATGGGTGGTGAAGCCTTGAGTCCCAGCTGGCTTGGGCCCACCTGCTCTCTGCCCTCTTTCTGCCTCTATCCCAGACATAGACGAGTGCCGCTACCGCTACTGCCAGCACCGCTGTGTGAACCTGCCTGGCTCCTTCCGCTGCCAGTGCGAGCCGGGCTTCCAGCTGGGGCCTAACAACCGCTCCTGTGTGGGTGAGGCTGGGCCAGGCCAGGCTCCTGGGTCCTGCGCAGGGAGGTGTGAGATGGGGGTGCTCCCTCCCTGACCAGCCCAGGTAGAGTGGGGGCTCTGGGCCGCTCCTCGGCTTTCACACCTTCTGTTTCTCCTGGCACCCCCAGATGTGAACGAGTGTGACATGGGGGCTCCATGTGAGCAGCGCTGCTTCAACTCCTATGGGACCTTCTTGTGTCGCTGCCACCAGGGCTATGAGCTGCATCGAGACGGCTTCTCCTGCAGCGGTGAGGGCTGTACCCCTGCTGTGTGCTCCTCTGTGGGTCCCTAGGCCCTACCTGTGCGTGCCTCCTGCCACACAGTCTCCATCTGAGGCCTCCAAGTCGAGTCACTGTGCACCCAGCTGCCTCCTGGGTACTCCACCCTGCTGGCTGTGGAGCACTCCCAGTCTGGTGGGGAAGGCACAGGGAGAGGCAGCGAGGTCCCTACTGAAGGCTACTGGAGAGAAAGGATGTGGGCGCCACTCTTCCCGCGTGTCAGGCTCACCTGCATTTGAATTTTGCAGTAGGACAAGTCACTCTTCTCTGAGCCTGTTTCTTCTTCTATAAAATGGAGTGTCTTGAGGGTTAGATGAGACAGTGTGATAAAGGGGCTCCAGCAAGTCTCAAGCTGCAGTGCTTGAAAGTGAATGAACTGCCACTTAACGAGACCCTCCCCTCTCGGTGTATTCCCTGACATACTTGGCCTCCTTCCTCTCAAGAATCCTAGGAGGTATGGTTTTTTCCTTCCTCTACAAAATGAGGACATTACTATCTCCCTCCACATTTGTTGGGAGGATTACATAAAAATAAGCACAAAATCCTGGGTAAATGGTGACTTTCATTATTCAGCTAAGAGAAGTTAATGACCTGGCCAAGTTCATAACACCCAGGATGAGATGAGGTCAGGGCTCCATCCCAGTCTTCTCTCACCCTGTGAACTGGCATGTACCTCCTATGTTATGCTTTGCTGCGGGATGAGGCCTCATTGCTACGTGGCAGCATGAGGGGAACAAGAGAAGGGATATGGTCTGCCTGTGCAGCTCACAGTTGGCTGGAGGTGATCACTGGGTGGTCGGGCTGATTGTGGGCTGCAGGACGTGGGCAGGTTACAGCACAGGCCTAGCCCACACGACTCATCTAGTCTAATCCACCCATTTTACTGATTGGGAAAGTGAGATTCCCACAAATCAGCTGGTAGGATTCACACCCAAGTCTCTAGATTCCCAGTGCTTTTATTTAGTGCTTTCTTCCAGTCCTGGGCAGAGAGAAGTCTGTGAGCTGGGGCAGCCTGGGCAGAGCTTTCTCTGAACCCTCCATCTTCCTGCTGAGCCTTGCAGGACTTGTCTCATCCCCCTGTCTTTCTGCATTCAGCCTAACATGGGGCTGGGTCCTCTTACGAAATGTCTGTGGGACTGAATGGCGAGGACTGCCCTTGACCTAGGGTCCCCATCCCCATGCTTCCTCAGATATTGATGAGTGTAGCTACTCCAGCTACCTCTGCCAGTACCGCTGCGTCAATGAGCCAGGCCGCTTCTCCTGCCACTGCCCACAGGGCTACCAGCTGCTGGCCACGCGCCTCTGCCAAGGTACAGGTTACCCAGGTGGGATGGGCAGGATGGTGTCAGGAGCTGGCAGCCTGACGCCCTGGATTCCAGCCCCTCTCCCCTGGCACAGACATTGATGAGTGTGAGTCGGGTGCACACCAGTGCTCTGAGGCCCAAACCTGTGTCAACTTCCATGGGGGCTACCGCTGCGTGGACACCAACCGCTGCATGGAGCCCTATGTCCAGGTCTCTGACAAGTGAGTCATTTCAATGCCTGGCTCCCACAGAAACTATGTCTCCCAGGGGGCTTTGGGGCTGACTGGCATCTATTTGGGCCAGTGAGCACCCTTGAGGGCTGATGGGAATTGTAGTCCTCCATGACAACCAGTCACAGGGGTGGGAGGATCCTTTTGGGATTCGTTCCCTTTGCAGGATAGGTGAAATTGGTGGTGGGGGGGGACAGGCAAGGACCTCATTTGTGTCCCCCACCTGGGGGTCTCTAGCCGCTGCCTCTGCCCAGCCTCCAACCCTCTCTGTCGAGAGCAACCTTCGTCCATCGTGCACCGCTACATGACCATCACCTCAGAGCGGAGCGTGCCCGCCGACGTGTTCCAGATCCAGGCGACCTCTGTCTACCCTGGTGCCTACAATGCCTTTCAGATCCGTGCCGGAAATTCGCAGGGGGACTTCTACATTAGGGTAAGGCTTCTGCACCCTCAACTGACAAGCACTCCAGGAAGCCTTAAGGGGTACTAGGCCAGGCTATGCCCCGCCTCTCCTCTCAAAGCCCCGCCCCTGGGAGTTTGGGTTTCTGAAGGAAGATGGGGTATTCTAAATTCTCGTGGTACGGAGAGATGGTTAAATGCAATTCTAACGAAGCACTCGGACCCCGGGGTTTGAATCCCAGTACTGGTTTCCCATATCTGATCTCAATTTCTTCACCCACAAACCAAGGGAATGGTGTGTGCAGGGGCCTGGGGTCGGAAAGTCCACTCCTTGCTGTTGGAGCTGTTAAGGTGGGAGGGGCCAGGAGTGGGTCACAGTGAGTGGCAGCGGCTTGCTTGGGTCTCGGCAGGAGTTTGTCTGGTACCAGCGCTTCTCTTTCTTTTTGAAATCAAATGCTCTGGGCCATTAATGCTCTGGGCAGTGGCTCAAGCCTGTTATCCCAGCACTTTGGGAGGCCAAGGTGGGTGGATCACCTGAGGTCAGAAGTTTCAGACCAGCCTGGCCAACAAGGTGAAACCCCACCTCTACTAAAAATACAAAAATTAGCCAGGCATGGTGGCATGTGCCTGTAATCCCAGCTACTACAGAGGCTGAGGCAGGAGAATCGCTGGAACCCGGGAGGCGGAGGTTGCAGTGAGCTGAGATCGCACCATTGCACTCCAGCCTGAGGGACAAGAGGGAGACTTCATCTCAAAAAGAAAAAGAAGAAAAAAAAAACAAATTGAATGCTCTGAAGGAGTCTGCTCACTTTGGGTCACCAAAGTTCCCACCACTCCCAAGAGCAACATGTGGCCTTGAATCATCAGTTAGCCTGGGTTAGACAAAACTAGCTGGAAAGGGTGGGAAGAGCCCCAGCGGGAGATTTCTGAGTCGTGGAGCGGAGACGTCAAGGGTGTCAAGGAGCCAGATGAGAGCCCAGACGAAAGCCTGGGGTCACAGCCTGGCCAGGGCTGTCTCTCTACCTCACGGCCATGGGGCAGGGAGGTGACACTGGGGCAGAGGCCTAGCACACAGGCTGACACAATAAATATGTCCCCCCACCCACTGCCCTGCAGCAAATCAACAACGTCAGCGCCATGCTGGTCCTCGCCCGGCCGGTGACAGGCCCCCGGGAGTATGTGTTGGACCTGGAGATGGTCACCATGAACTCCCTCATGAGCTACCGGGCCAGCTCTGTACTGAGACTCACCGTCTTCGTGGGGGCCTACACCTTCTGAGGAGCAGGAGGGAGCCACCCTCCCGCAGCTCCCCTAGCTGAGGAGCCTGTTGTGAGGGGCAGAATGAGAAAGGCAATAAAGGGAGAAAGAAGGAGTCCTGGTGGCTGAGGTGGGAGGGTCACACTGCAGCAAGCCTCAGGCTGGGGCAGGCTGGGACCTGTGGGGGGCAGGCCAAGTCCACCTAAGTGGGGGTCTCTGTGTGCTCAGGCCCAGGGGGCCCCATTGACAGGAGCTGGGAGCTCCATACCACAGGCTTCAGTCACCCCGAAAGCAGAGGAGGTAATGAGGAGGGCGGACTCCAGGCCCTGTCCCAGAGATCTGGACTTGGCCGCTTTGCAGGGGTCCTGAGAAACTCCACTCTGGATAGTGTAAGGAGGCCCTGGGTTCCAGTCCTAACTCTGTCTCAAGCTGTACATTTTGATAAGTCCTAGTGGTTCCCTGGGCCTGTTTTTCTATAAAATGAGGCAACTGGACTGTTAGTGGTTTTTGAGCTTTTCTTTTAGGAAGTTTTATTTTTATTATTTTTAATTTCGCCAGTAAGTTTTATTTATTTTTCCTTCTGCACTTCTAAGGAAGTTTTATTTGATAAGGACCAACTGATGATATAAAGTCGATCCAAAGCTGCAATGCCCCACTGACTCCATCTCCCGGACCAGGGAATCCCAGTCCTAAGCAGCTTGGTTTAAAAATCACTGGACCAGATGTTATCTCTGGTTCCTGCATATTTCACAAGGCCCCCAGTGCCAGGCATCTCCTATATAATACATATGGCTACAAACACTTAGATTCTAATTGTACCCCAAACGATGCTGGCTGAAAGGCTGATTATCCTGGGGGTGAGGGGACAGATGGGAGCTGGGGGCTGCTTCGTGGCATAAGCTCAGGTCAGGGGGCTGTAGCTGCAGTAGAGCTGGGACAAAGTCCTGCTCAGAGCAGGCCCCAGATTCCTGCAGGAAGAGAGGCAGTGAGGGTCACGCCCTGGGCCTAGGGCAGCCCCGGCCCCCACCACTCCCTCCAGGTTGTGCCTCGTCCTCACCTCTGCAGACGCCCACACTTGATGGTGCTCAGTAGTGTCTCCTGTTCCTTGGGGGTTGCACAGGCATCATAGGCGGCCAGGAGGCTGAGGGGCAGGGGTTTGAGTTTCTGAGGCTGACAGTGGTCCACACCAGGCCAGTACCATGAGGGGCCAGCATGGGATAGAGGATTTGGGCCACTGCCCCACTTCCTGAGCCCGGCACACAAGGCCCCACACCAGCCTGCCTATCCTCCCTCCCTGTGGGAACTCTGAGGCAAAACCAGCAAGGGCTCCAAACTGTCACCCCCACTCCCCTTTAACGGCTCAGCCCCCTTCTCTAGGAAGCCTCTGCTCCACCAGTGGGATGTCTCCCTCCCTCCTGTGGCCTCCACTGCCTGGGACTCTGTGTGGGTCTGCTGGCTTCCTCCCCATTTGACCTCCACGAGCACCCTGGACTTCAGCCAGATCTGTCCATCTCTGGGTCTGCACAGCCCACACAAGGCATGGATTAAGGTGAATTCCATGCATGGAGGGCAGGGGCTGAGGACAGCTAAGGGCCCTCGGGGGCCTACCTGGCAGGGGTGCTGTATCGATCTACCAGGGCTGCTGCCTTCTCCCCACTCACTCCGCGCACCTGCATCAGCTGCCGCGCAAACACTTCTCGCACCGACTGGGCCTGGGTTTGGGGAAGGGCTGGATCAGCGGTGATCTGGGCCGGGCCCTGTCAGGGAAGCAGGGAAGAGGCAGTACCTTGTTCTTGATGGCTCCTGCGTTGAAGTCACTGAAGGTGAGCAGTGAGCAGAGAGGGTTTGGAGAGGGCATGGCCCCTGATTCAGGGTTCCCAGGGGTTCCCCAGGGGCGGCTGCGTAGGGTGTGGCCCTGAGGGAAGAAGGAACTGAGGCCAGGCTGGAGCTTGAAGGGACAACTCCAGCCAGCTCCTGCCCAGTCCTCGGCCGCAGGGGGTCAGCCTGAGAAATGGGGATCTCACCCACCTTGCTTCTCTTGGGGACGCACAGGCAAGGCGAATTCCTTGCAGGCCCTGCTCACCTGGTAGAGTCTCCGCAAGCCCTGTGTCAAGAGGGCCAGGTAGGCGGCTGACTCCTTAATGTCTGCTGTGCGCTTCACAAAAAAGCCATCAATGACCTGGGAAAGAAGACCCAAGAGAGGGAAGGTGGCTCCTGACCTAGACCACAAACCACAGACCACAGGGGCCCCTGCCTGCCTGGCTCTGCCCTCCCAGCTCACCTGAGTGTTGGTGACAGCCTGCAGCAGTGTGCTCTCTGGAAGGCTGAGGTTGTGGACTGAGCCATGCTCTTCCACCAGGTATACCCGGCGCTCCAGGCCGCAGCGCTTCAGCCGGAACTAGGGAAGTGGACAGAATAGGCAGGGAGGGTCCGGCTGGATGCCCATGTGCCTGGGCAGCCATCATGTCACACTCAAAATGGTGCTGTGACCCTGGTCCCAGCAGTTAGCCTCCGCATCCTCCCTAGCCTGTCCCCCTGCCTCAGAGGGGCCTCTGTGGCTTTGCTCATACTGACACTCTTGCCTAGAAAGCCCTTCCTCCATCTCTGAACACTGCCCATCCTTCAAACCTGCCCTGGGCCTGTATGTGGCCTCTGTGACTATGGGGTCCGCCCAGCAGCAAGTACCAGGGTACAGCGTCTGTTATTTCCAGTCCTGGAGATTTGAGCCTTGTTTATCCAAGACTAAGGAATTGGGTACCCAAGGGATCTTTAATCTGCTCCTGAGCTCAGCCCAAGAATGCAGGTACCCTGCCTTCCTACTGTGCGCCTGGATGGGCCTGTGAGGGTCTAATCCTGGAGCAGCCACAGGGTGGGTGTGGCTGGAGTCCAAAGGGCTCTGCCTCAAGGAGGCTGCCAGAAGTGCTCTGGCCTGAAAAGGGGGCTCCGGAGCAGGCAGGGAGCCTGGCAAAGCCAGCGAAGTTACCTTCTGCTCCCGGAAGCGGCCATCAATGATGCTGCTGCACAGGTCATCCAGCCGCTTGCGCTCCACGATGTGGTCCAGCACCAACTCCCCAGGGCTTGCTGCTGAGGAGCCAGGAAGGGTCCCATTAGCTTGCCATGCCCCACCCACCAGGCCCTGCCCCTGGCGCCGGCCTGTCCATGGCCCTTCACCTGGATCTCTAGGATTGGTCTCCTGTGCCACCCACACAAAATCCCCAACATGCAGCTTGCGCACTGTGTGGGTCACGTGCAGCCGCTGTAGCTCTCGGAGCAGCTCCGGCCTGTACCCCGCCCTGGAGTGGCAAGGAAGGATGCCTAGATCAGGGCAGGGCAGGGCAGTGCCTACCCCCCAGCTTCCTCTGATAGTCTCTGTTTCTTCCCACCTCACTCACCCCCGGGTCTCGCCGATGTCCACACACAATAGTACCCTGTACTCTCCAGGCCTCAGCTCCAGTGGTGGCTGCTGGACCCCTGCTTCACTGGCACTAAGTGGGGGTGGTGTGTGAGGACAGAATCCCCCATGCCAGGGCAGTTGCCCTGTACCCACACCACCCAACACCCACCCACAGTAGGGGGGCAGCCACAGCTCAGCTGCAGGGTTTTGGCCTCATTTCCCATCCCCTTCTCCCCATTTTCCCCTCTTCTCCCCTCCTCCTCACAGCTCTGCCGAAGCTGATCCTGGCGCTGCTGTCTCCTCCCCAGGGGACTCCTCGGGCCTGATGCCCACATTCAACAAGCTCAGGCCTTCCGATTCAGCCAACTTCTGGGCCAGCTCCAGGCCCTCTGGGGTCAATGAGTACCTGGGAAGCAGAGGGGACAAACATAGCTCTCCCTTTTTCACTCATTCCTGGCAGGCTCTCCTGCCTGCCCCCAGCTGGGCTAGCCTCACTGCCCCCTTGGCGCCCTGCACAAATGACCCCAGTGGCTCCTGCTCCTCCCGGTCTTCTTGGCTCTTAGAGCAGTTCCTTGGACCTGCTCAGTGCCATTCTCAGGTCTGCAATAAGTCAGTCTCAGACAATTTCCTTTCTCCCGTCTTCACTAATGCTGTTTCCCCCTCCTCAGAATACTTATCCTGCATCTCTACCAGCCAAATCCTGAAACGTGTCAAATGTTATCTCCTCTGAAAAGGCTTTCTACTCCTTCAAAACCCATGGTGCCCTCCCACTCCCACTGTTGCAGGGTTGGACTGTTCTCTCCAGGTACCCTCCAGGCACTCCAACAGCGGGAGCTCCTGAGGGAAGGCCCATGTCCCCCAACCTCAACAGCATCAGCTCTGGGAGTTGTTGAGTGATTCTAAGCCCCATTAAGAAGGTCATGCATGCTCTCCCATCCCTGCCTCCTGTATCTCCTGCAGTTGGCCCCACCTGGCTGGCTGGTGTGTCCTGAGGACCAGGTTCCTGTGAAGGAGGGAGCGGAGGGCTGGCCAGGGTCGAGCACTCCCAGGGGCTACCTGTGGATCGGAAAAGAGACCCTCAGAGAGCACCTGTTGCCACCATGAGTCCATGTTCCCTGTGTCCCCAGCCATGGGACACACATGTGTCCATTGCCAGAAAGGGCAGTCTTGGGTGGGCTCCAGAGCCGCTTGGGCCTGTCCTCCCTGACCCCTGTGCTCACCCTGGAGGTCTTCTGAGCACACCTCTGCAGCAGCTCCTCCTTGGTTAAGAACTGGTGGCCGTTAGGATTCTGAAACCATGGTAGAAGAGACAGGGTAGGCTCAGTGTCAGGGCCCCTCCTCATCCTGCTCAGGTGGCTGGGATAATCTTTGCCTGTCTTGTCCTGGCCAGGCATCTCTAGGAACCTCCCACCCCACTGCCTTGGTTCCACCTCCCGGTGTAGCTTGGTGCTCACCAGGTGCTCCTGGTAGAGCAGCAGCAGTATCACTCGGGCTCCTGAGTGCCGAGCTGGCCAGTAGCTGCCAGAGCCTCCCACTTTGGGCTGGGCAGGAATCTGAAAGGAACAGAGGAGCTCTGAACATGAAAGCCAGCCAGTCATCTTCCGGTAAGTCCCTGGCAGGGCTGAGGTTTCACAGGCTTCGTGGCACTGGGTAAGTCACTCAGTTGAGTCTCAGTTTCCTTCTCTGTAAAATGGGCCAGGTGATGCGATGACCCCCTGCAAATCTGGGATGAGACAGCAGGCAGTTTGGGGCAGCCGGTGGGGTGTCTGCCCAGCCTGGCCTCAGGTCTCTCAGGTCTATGACACGGGGCAGGACAGGAGTGGTTAGACAGGAAAACTGAATGATGATGACCCTGTAACTAACTGAGCCTCCCTCCCTAAGTAGCTTGATCATGGAATTCTCTCATTGACTGTTACCAATATTCCCATTCGCAGGTTAAAATACTAAGTCTAAAAGAGGATAAGTCATTTGCCCAAGGCCAGGCATCGCTAGTGAGATTCGGACTCAGGCTTGCCAAATCCCCCAAGCCAGGAAATCATATTCCCACACTCCCACTTTGCCAGCCACTCCCCTTGCCCCTTCCTCACTGGCATGGAAGAGTCCTGGACTTCTGCAGGTCGCCCCTGCGGTGCTGGACTGTTCTGTCCAGATGGTGAGCCTGGTGCATGGTCATCTGCGGGAGGAGAAGAGAGTCAACTCCGCACTCCATGGAATCCGGCAGCTGCGAGGGTCTGGGATGTAACCTGCTCAGATGGTACATTAGACCGGTGAGGGTGGCTCAGGGGAGCGCCAGCCACTAGCCCGAGGCCGAAGAGCAACTTGGACAGGAGTGGGGAGCTTGAAGCCAAGGGATCCCAGGTGAGTACGGAGGCTGCACCTGGGGGAGGCAGGCGCTCACCGCCCGATGTTCGGTGCCGCTGCAGCCGCTCGTCCAGCATCCGGCAGAGCCCGTCTCCGAAGTGCTGCAGAATTTTAGCTTCCTTCCCGCTGCGCAGCGGCAGTGGGTACCGCCGGAGGGAGCGCAGCGCCTGGCGGGGCAGGGGCAGGGTACCTGGTCAGGGCAGGCCTTGACCTGGCCAGCAGCTGTTCCCATCGGGCCGCGCAAGGACCCACCTTCTGAAACACGAAGCGCGTGCGGCGCCCGCTGCAGGTCGCCTCGTCCCGCCACTCGGTCAGCCAGCGAACGAAGAGCGGGTTGGGACAGGCAGGCAGCGGGCGCTTCCGACCCAGGCGGACTGGCGCCGCCATGAGCCCGAGGGCGGGTCCAACGGCGGGACTGGGACGCCGCCAGTTCTGGAGTCGGGATTCGAACACCTGGTCTGGGGCGGGGCGTCAGAAGAGGGAAGCTGAGGGCAGAACCGATGAGATCACGGGCCCCCTTACGCAAGGGGCACTAACGAGAGAACCTGCCCTCCCGCCCCTGCGCTGCTCCAAGTGGTTGGTGCGCGGCGCTGTCTCTAACAATATTTCGCCTCGGCCCCGCTCCAGCCAGGACCAGCCTTTGGGACGCGCCCCACCCCAGCCCCCGGAACCTGGACCTGCTCCTTCCAATCACCTCAGATTCGAGAGCGGGGTCATCTTTGTGTAGGTTAGAGGAAGACGGACAGCGCCCCCTATGACGGGGGAGGACTGGCTGGGCGATGCTTAACGGCCTAACCTGGACTTGGCCGCTCTAAGGTCTCTAAGATTTGTCAGTTTCAGCCTCAAGCTTGAAGAGGAGGCTGGAGATGGAGACTGGGCTTGAGGAAGAGTCCAGAAGAGGCGGGGGCTGGGAAACAAACGGGTGCAAACACCCCGGTGGGAGGGACACCCAGAAAGGGGCGCCGGGAATGAGGCCACAAAGGTAAGGCAGGAGGAGCTGCAGCACCCCTGGAGGAAATGGTGGCCCTTATCCCCGGGATACAGGGCAAAGAGTGTGTGGTGGGGAGAAAGTCGGGGACGTGCCGAGAAGGCCCAAAATAGGACCTGGGGGGTCGGGGGTCAGAGGCCTAGTGGAAGGAGAACTGTAAATTAAGAGGTGCTTGGGCACCTTGGCAGTTGGGGAGACCTGAGGTGGGCACGTGGTTGGATTCGGGGGCGGGCGGGGGAGGCCGCGGGTTAAGACGCCGAGACACAGGTAGATGGGACAACACTTCGACGTTTTTGTGGCCAATCGGATGTGGGAGACCCTCAGGAAGGTCGCAAATGGAAACCCTACAAAGGGTTTCAACCTGACAATGCTGAAGGACACGTATAGCTGAGTTGGACACAGGCGACTCGCCAGGGTTTGAAGCAACACCCGGCCTCTAGCTGTTATGCCGGAAGTCGCGAGACGCAGATCTCGAGCCTGCGGGGAAGACAGAGGTGGGCGCCAGAGTTCCAGGCCCGCCCCTCCGGACTCCGCCAGCCGGCTCCGGCTCCTGCCTCCCTCCCGCCGCGGCCTTATAAGGAGCCTGAAGCCGGCTGTCGGGCTGGCCCCGCCCCCTCGAGTGTCTTGTCCTAATAAGGACATCTAGGGCATCTCGCGGCTAGGGGCGGGCAGGAGCGCGTCTCCAGGGTAACTGCGAAGCCCCGTCCCCCTCCTCGTTGCTCTTGGAAACTCCAAGACTCGACAAAGGTGGCGCTAGCCTCGTCTTCAGGCAGGGGCGCTCGCAGGAGACGGGGGTCAAGCTGCAGTCTTCACCTGGAGCGCTGGGAGCCCGGGGTGGCGGGCGGTGCTGTGGAACGTCCCCGACTACAACCCCCGGCATGCTCTGCAAGAAGGTACCCCACTTCCAAGCATCGCTCTCCATTTACAACCTTAATTCCGTTTATGGGATTAAGGCCCCCAGGTCCATTTCTGGGTTTGACTCTGACTTGTTTGCGACCCAGTCTTCTCTTCCTGAGCGTTGAGGCTGTGGTCACTATTCTAGGAAAACTAAATCATCCCGGAGTCCCCCGCTAGTTTATTTTTTTAAGGAATATACTACCACAGACCTTGTCTCAGTTTTTACAGGTGTTAGAAGAGCCATATGCCTGGCTATAAACTCGAGAGCTGGGTTCAAGTCTGGTTTAATATCTGTTCCTTTTCACTGGCACGTAAAAGGCATGTAAAGAGGACTTGAATTGAATGCACAATTCCTCGTCTTTACCCTTTATCGCCTCATGACTTTGCCAAACATCTTTAAACAAGAACAAAGCTCTCAGAGATTTCCTTGTAGCCTTTCCCCTGTGCCTTTTTCTCCTATTTTTATTTTACTGACGTTGCACATGGCCTTTTTTCAGAAGACGAGAGTAGCTTCGCATATGCAGGGTACTAGTGTTTGTCGGCCTGACAACGTCTTCATACTTGTGATTTTCCTTGCTTTAGGACGGGATTCCAGACTAATCAATAGTTGCTTCAATTCAGAAAAGCAAAACCCTAACCGTACTCAAAAATTTCAGACCAAGGAATCCAGATAATACCAGATGGGTCTTAAGAAAGCCGTGTTGCTGCGGGATAAAAAGCCGCTTAATCCGGGATCGTTTTCGGGTCATTTTATTGAGCGCCGCCTCGCAGGGCTCAGAGCAGTTCCTGTTAAATTGGACCAATGGGGTCGCGCTGCGCGCTGCGGCCCTGCCCGCAGCCCGGGCCTACATTTCCCCGCAGGCACTGCGGTGCGGGGCCGGCCGGCGGGAAGACTCCGTTACCCAGCGAGCGCGGCGGCGGCGCACGGCCCTAGGACTCCATTTCCCGTCGGCCCGCGGAGGGAGCGCCGGAAGCCCGCCCCGCCCCTCATTGTGCGGCTCCTACTAAACGGAAGGGGCCGGGAGAGGCCGCGTTCAGTCGGGTCCCGGCAGCGGCTGCAGCGCTCTCTTCTTCTGCGGCTTTCGGTGTCCTCTCCTTTTCGCTTCCGGAAACATGGTGAGCGGCAGGCCACGGCGCCCGAGGGAGGCGGCTGCGGGTCGGTCGCCTGCGCACGGGAGGCGACGGGGGAGCGATGTCCGCACCCCCTCCCCCAGCGCCCCGGGCGGGATGAGGGTCTCGCACGGAGGGGCGGGCGGTACCGCAATGCGCGTGCGCGCCCGGGGGCGCCGGGGAGGGCCGGCCTGGACGTCGCTTGCGCGCTCCCTGGGCTCCTCTCCCCTCCCCCACCCGCTGGTGCGCCCGCGCGGACGGACAGCGGCCGCGGGGGGAGGGGTCTGGGTCGCGCGCCGGCGCGCCCCTCGCGGAACGGCCGGCGTCGTGCGTTGTTTCTTAGGGGCGCGCTCTCGACTGGAGCACGCGGTGTCCAAACCCGGCCCGGGGGCGGCGAAGGAAAAGCGCGCGAGAGGTCTCGGCGCGCGCGCCCCACCCAAGGCTGTTCCTGTCTCCGCGTCACCCTCCCTCGGCAGCCGGGTCCGTGTCGGGAGCAGGTGGCAGAGATGCCTGCGTTGGGGAGGGGCGGGCGCTGTCGCGGCGAGGGGGGATGCTGGGACAACAGAGTCCTGGTTGGGGCATGGGTGCCTGCGATTAGGGCTTTGCACCGCAAGGCTTGGACGGGGCATCGCAGAGACCGTGGCCGGCTCTGGAGCGCACCCCATCGAGCTGCGTTCTCACCCGTGCATCGTGCGAGGGCTGGAACCGCGCTGTCCGCCGGCGGGTGCGCGCACTCTCAGGCCCGGCCGCCGGTGTCGAAGCTCTGGGCGAGCGGGGCCTTCCCGGATGGGCCTGAGGGTGGAGCCGAGTTTAGGGAAGTGACCCAGGCGGGCACCGCCCGGAAACCATCCCGCCCCCTGCATACGGCCAGAGGGCTGAGAAAACCAAAGGTTGAGTAGCTTGCCCAGGCTCCTGCCCGCCGCAGATGGGTCTGATTTGCCCGTTGGTTAAGGCGATTCCACAGGGTTAGGGACCTGTAGAGGCTACTGCCTTTAGGGTACGCGTTTCTCTACTGGGGAGGGGGCCGAGCGTAGCCGATCTCCTTTCCCCGCCCATTCCGGAAGCGGCTGGGTCACGTGGCCAGTTTCCTCTGCAGTTCCGGGGAGATTTACCGTGGTCAGTCCTTCCGTCTCCTGTCTCAGGCACCCCGAAGCACGGTGCAGAGTAGGAGTTTAAAGAGCTCTCGAGGCCTCTGGGCACTTGAGTTTGGCATGTCAGTTTCTACTAGCGACTTCTGGGGCCCATTCCCAGAAGAAAGAAGTTGTCGGGCAGGGTCCTTAGTGGGGGTTGTGATTCTTGTTTTGGTTGGGAAAGACCATAGCAGGGAACAGGCGTCGTTTGTGTAGTAACTGCATTAAGCAGTTCTGGTGGATTTGTTGCAACTGTTCAGTGTCCTTGGGTTTCATCTAGCATTGTGGGGTCTCGGCTCTTGCTGAAGAGGAGTCTTGCTTCGGGTATTTGGGTCCTCCTATCTGTGAAGTTCGAGGTCACCACTTTTATCTAAAGGCTGAGAGCAAATACTGTGAGTAGTCAGTAGATCTTTTAATTCTGGGTCCACTTCTCGGTCAAGGCTCTGCTTTTCACGAGTTTTCTATTTCCTGTAAAATAAGGGAAGGGGTTGTTGAACTAGGTGATCAGAAGCCATGGCTGCCGTTCTGGGGTTGTGTCCCATCTGGTTCTTTGACAGTGGCCTGGGTAGGGAACACCAGTGACTTGCCCTGGGAAGGGCACTAGTGCCGGGTGCGGACTGAGAACTGAGAAAACAAGGGGCAATTCCCTAGAATCCTTTTTTTGAGGACGGATATGTGGCATGTCTCCTAGGCCTCTGGTGTGGCTGTCTCTGATGGAGTCATCAAGGTGTTCAATGACATGAAGGTGCGTAAGTCTTCAACGCCAGAGGAGGTGAAGAAGCGCAAGAAGGCTGTGCTCTTCTGCCTGAGTGAGGACAAGAAGAACATCATCCTGGAGGAGGGCAAGGAGATCCTGGTGGGCGATGTGGGCCAAACTGTTGATGACCCCTATGCCACCTTTGTCAAGATGCTGCCAGATAAGGACTGCCGCTATGCCCTTTATGATGCAACCTACGAGACCAAGGAGAGCAAGATGGTGTTTTATCTTCTGGGCTCCTGAGTCTGCGCCCCTTAAGAGCAAAATGATCTATGCCAGCTCCAAGGACGCCATCAAGAAGAAGCTGACAGGTAAGGGCCAGCATTGGTACTGAGTGCCCTTCTGCTCTGGCCTTGGCTGCAGGGTAGGGTGAATGGCACTCAGAGGGGGTCCGCCCCCTTGTCTTCGCCACCTGCTTGTTCCTTCCATCTGCTTTGATTGGCTCATTCCCAACCACAGAAACTGCCCCCACCCCAGTGCTTCCTGCTCACAGATGCTCCCCCTTCTTCCCTACAGGGATCAAGCATGAATTGCAAGCAAACTGCTACGAGGAGGTCAAGGACCGCTGCACCCTGGCAGAGAAGCTGGGGGGCAGTGCCGTCATCTCCCTGGAGGGCAAGCCTTTGTGAGCCCCTTCTGGCCCCCTGCCTGGAGCATCTGGCAGCCCCACACCTGCCCTTGGGGGTTGCAGTCTGCCCCCTTCCTGCCAGACCGGAGGGGCTGGGGGGATCCCAGCAGGCGGAGGGCAATCCCTTCACCCCAGTTGCCAAACAGACCCCCCACCCCCTGGATTTTCCTCCTCCCTCCATCCCTGACGGTTCTGGCCTTCCCAAACTGCTTTTGATCTTCTGATTCCTCTTGGGTTGAAGCAGACCAA